CGAAACGTACCTGTATTGTTCGCTAGTCTGGGCAGCGCAGGGCACGACGCGCGGCTCAGCGCTCCCCAGCCTCGCGCTAGCTGCCTCCACGAGAGCCGCCTGATTGGCCAGCGGGCTCCGCCGTTTAAAACAGCCTCCTCGCCCGGCCATTGGCCGCGGGCCTCATGCATATTAAACAGGCGCGGGCGCCCATTGGGCGCGGCCTCTGGGATCATTCATTCAAACAGAACAACCCGCCGGCGCTGGCTGCTGAGGCAAAACAGAGGGATAATAATATTCTCGCTTTCCCACACACACCGCCCCCCCTCTCGAACCGAGCTAGGATCTCAAAGGACTTTAGAGAGGTGGCCCCGCCATTCCCGGCGGCCTCGGCCTCTGGCGTGGGAAGACGAGGTCGAGCCCAGCTGCGCTGCCGTCTGCTCCCGCCGCGCCACGGCCTGGGCGTCCCTGGCCCCGGCCCCTGGTCCCCAGGCAGCCCCTCAGACCCGGAAAATCTCCGGGGACCGGCCCGCGAGGGTCGACGGGCCTCCACCTCTACCCAGTTCCGGCGCAGCTCCGCGCCAGGGGCCCGGCCTCAGCTCGCTGGCTCCTTTCTCATTGCGGGTGGAAGACAGCAGTTCGCTCGCCGAGACCTCGGGGTTTAGGCGCTTGGGCCCTGCTGCCCCGCCCGAAGGGGACCTGACTGTGCTCCTGCGGATCGCGCTCGGCTAGGCTCTGTGCACGAATTGCCAGAAATTCGATTTGTGCCTGCATGTGCGGAAAGGGCGAACTAGGCGGGCTACAGAAGGGAAACGGAGTTTGGCAAAAAGCAGAGAAATTGCGAGACACTGTAGTTTTGTGGGCAGGGAGTCCCCCCTCTTAACTGCCTCAGTTCAGGTCCGCATTCCCTCTGTTCTCCTGACAAACACCCTGGTGAAGAATAAAAGTTCTTGCTATGAATGAATATGAATGAATGGGCTTTGACTTGGCCTTGGCTTTGCCACTGGCTGGTGATATGGCCTTGAGCAAGTCACTTCTTTGGCGGGGGTAGAGGGGGGGTTAAGGCAATGGCTTTCAAAATGTAGGGAGAGGTAGTGTCTCCTCTAAGGGATGTTTGGAAGTGCCCCATGACTGGGAGTCCTTGCTGGAATTTTATAAGGGAAGGGGATGGCCAGGGATGCTAAATGTTCTGCAGTGCACAGGACAGTCACATACAGAAAGTAATTCCCCACTCCAAATGCTAGTATCAGCCTTGTTGGAAAATATGAGGGCCCTTCCCTCTTTGAGGTACCACGAGCTTCCTGAAAAGAATGGAAGAAAAAGGAAGGATGAGAAAAAGGGGCATATTTTAAGGACTGAAATTTGGAGGAAATAATGGAAGAGGAATCATGAGTTTTTCTATAGGAAGTTCCCTTTCTAAAGCACTTTAAGGGCCAAGATATCCAGCTATCTCTAATTCCCATATTTAGAAAAGAGACCCACCAGATGAGTTTTCCAAATGCTGTTTCCAGAAACCGTGCCTGAGTTTGAAGTGTGCAAGGGAACTGACCTCACAAGGCCCCTTCCTCCCTACCCCACCCAGCTCTTGTCAACTCCTCTGAGCCTCCTGGGAAGGCCTGAACCCCCCCCCCCCTCCCCAGCTTGCACTGCTAGGCTTCCATCATTAGGGATCCAACCGAGACCGAAAGGCAAGGTAGTTCTGCTTTTGCCAAGAGCTAACAAGTATGGAGTCACTTCCCCATGTCCCCAGTTTAAAGACTCTCAGGAACACAAACACCTTAAGGCCACCTGGTCCAATCCTCTGCCCTGCTGGAGCTAGCTGAGTGGTTGCCTACCTTCTGCTTGCATACCTCCACTCACAGGGAGCTTACCGCCTCCCTTTTGGGCTGTCTCTTCCACCTCAGGTAATCTCTGAGCCTTGGGGTCACCATCCTGCACACAGTACAGTTCCTTACCCTTCAGGATTTCATGGCAGGCCAGGTCTCTTCTCCAGGCAAACAGCTCCAGCTTCTTCCACGATGAGGTTCTCAGGGTCCAACCTGCCCAGGCCATTCCCTTCTCCCCCCACCCTCCTCTGCCCTTCCCAGCGGGGACCAGGATCTCCACGTGTGATCTGACCGGTATCTCCCCTCTGCCAGAGTGCCCTAGCCTCTCAGTGTCGTCGGGCCTCTCTAGGCCCAAGATGTGAGTTGGGGTCTCAGGTTGGGACAGGGGTCTCCTTCTGGTCCATCCACTGCCTGGCGTCCTGGCCACATTGGGAAGCTGCACTTAGCAGGTGGCAGGCACCAAGGGGGTGGACCAGAGTGTCAACCTTCAGAGCCCACAAGGCACTACTTGGGTGGGGACCCTGAGTGGATGGTGAGGTTCACATTTACACCGGGGCACATCGAGGGTGTTCCCAAAGACAGCAGCTTGAAGGCCAAACCAGGGAAATAAGAGCATCCCCCATCTAGAAGAGACTGTGCAGTAAGTGCTGTCCAGACACCACCCTCAAGACCCGTTCTTCCCCACCCCCTGCCACAGCCCTGCCCATTGGCCTCCTATTGCTGCGTACATACTTCGGAGGACGAACGGTTTGCTCCTGTTCTTCAAAGGAAGACTTTCCATCTCAGCTCCTGAGAAAGCTCCTTGTCCTGGAGCAGAAGCACTTGTCCTGAAGCTGAAACCTGTGGTCACTGTCATCAGAACCTCACAGTACATGACTATGACATGGCTGAGCGAGTCAGAGATCTGAAGATGGTTGCCATGGTTCCCTACTCCTCCCCCCACCCCACAACAAATGCACATATCCCCCCAGCTCTCCATGTCCCCTTCAGGTGCAATCTCCCCAATTCCTCCGTCTGTCCCTCACAAGCCTTGGTTGGGAGGCTCCTCACAGTGTCTTTCTCCCCAGTACTGCCCATCTATGGCAGCATGCCTGAACAAAGCTTGTGGCCTAGCAGGTTCCTACCCCAGCAGAAAGTCATAACTCAGTTCCACGTTCAGAAGGGGGATGAGGTGACATGAACAGTGGGGCTAGAAGGCCGCGGCCAGGTTGTGGCTTTGGGCTCTGTCACTGACTTTGGGTCTGCCTCGGCTGTGTCACCTCACCTCTCCCAGCCTCGGGGTCCTCTCTCACAGGTGATTTGACCCACCTATCCACCCTGGCCACCGTGCCATCTGCTTGGGAGGGAGGGGATACTGGTCAAGACACCTCTGAAGGTGGTCTGCTTGTCACCTGTAAAAGGCCACCCGGGGAGAGCTAAAGACCAGTCTGGAAGGTGACGAAAGTGACAGAAAGTCAGGGGTGCCTGGGCATGGCCTGAACTCGGGCCCCGAGGCAGCCTGCTCCACTGTCTGCAGCAAAACCCAGTGCCCGGTGACTTGGGGGTAGCTCCAACTGGTCAAGGCGAGGGACGGCACTCTGGGCCTCTGCCCTGGCCCTCACTGGAAAGTACTTTAAACACATCAATCACCTCTGAGGCCCAGCGCCAGACCAAGCCCATCCACAGAGGGGAACCTCAAACCAGAATCCCCTAAGCTGCTTGGCTGCCTGGAAAAGGTTAGGAAAACATTGAAAGTAAATAGGAAATAGGCAAAAGTGTGGCAGATGCTGTTTAAAGAGGTTTTCAGTTGCTGTCAGTTCAAGACCGCCAAAAGATTAAAGGGAGTCCTCATCATTCAACAACAAACATGAAACCCTAGTCTCCTACCTTCTTTACCCCTCCCCTCCCCCACCACCCTGCCCCCAGGGGTTCATGGGGATGCCGAGGGCTTAAAGGTATCATCCCTGAGGCCCAAACAGGGCAGCCTCCTTTTTAAGAATCCAAGGAAATGCAGCCAGAGTGGATATGGGGTGGGGCCGAGTTTTTGAATCCTTTAAACTCTGTTAAGGGTACTGCCCGTGAAGATCCTACAGTGAGGCCTACCCTTTCAGTAGGGATCTAAGAGCCTTTTGTAATTCAGATCTCCACAGGTAGGGAGTCTTTAGGCCGGCTCCGGCTCCGAGGCCTTCCCTGGGGCCCTTGCCCTACCCTGCTCACCCCCACCGGACCTGGTTCAAGGCCTGGAGCCTCCCCGCGCACCGGCCCCCCCCCCCCGCTCTAAAGTGGGAATTGTATTCCAACTGGACTTTTTCCCCCATAGGGAGGAAAATGTTCTCAGAGGTGGTTCGGGTCTATGGCTCTTATAGGTTTGTAAAGGTGCACAGCTGGGAAGGACCTTCCGGGACCGCTAACCCAGCCTCCTCCTACGCGGGGTGGGGGGCCCACAGGAGTCAGTGGCTGAGCCAGGGCTGGTCTCCTGGCCCTTAGGGTCACGCCTGGCCCACCCCTAATAGCTCAGCTCCACCGTGGGGTGCGCCGGCCACGGGCGAGCTGGCAGGGGCAGCCGGCGGCCCAGAGCAGCAGGGACTCCGGGCTCGGAGAGGCCCGCGGGGAGCCGGGCGCGTGGGGCGGACCTGCGCGC